CTGGTGACCTTTTAAGTTAATGACAAAAACTCAGATTACTTATTGCACATCTACAAACAACTCCCACTTGAATTTTTGCATGTTTTATTATCTTTCTTCCAGTGGGTCAACAAAAGCTTCAGACATCTACTTGTCAAGAACTCTTTAATTTACAAAATCATAATAAAGTTTTAGCCAAGTTTCCTAAAAAATTTATTCATATCAGATTTCCATACCTTATACCATATTTGTTTTTCATTAATTTTTGATCAAGTCAACTTTGTAGAGTTGTGTTTTCAAAATTAAAAAAATGCAGTTCATTTTTGGGAAAAAGCGAGGGGTTGAAGTTTTTAGGAATTGGGAATGGGGTTCATATTCGGCCCTTCAAGGGTAGTGAAAACTGGAACTGGAAACTGGTGGAAATTGAGCAGTTCCACACAGGATGATTAAAAATCAGAAAGCAATAAATGTCCCTCTGATTTTTAATATACAAAATGCTGCCCCTCACCTCTGGATTGACCTCAGTTTAACTGAGCTGAGTCCCTTCAACACTTCAGACATAGTGGGAACTTTATTTGTGGGAGCAGGGACAACATCAGGTGTGTTTCTATTTCCAACTCGACCTTCTTCTAATTTTTCCAACTTCTAAGAAAATGAAAATAAAAAAGAATTGATGAGATAGTAAGTTTTTAGTGAAAAATACATGGTCTATGGTCTTTCAGATGTTTAGTAATAGGATATATATACATAAATTGTATATTTACTGTTCTCAACATCTCGTCTGTAGCAGGCTCCCTCTTTACAGGTGTAGAGGTGTTCTGTACAGGTAAGGGGGGAGGTGGGGGAGGGGCAGGGGGGACACCTGAGATCTGTGGTGGGGTATGAACCATGGAGTTCATATTCGAAGGAGGTAATACTGCAATGGAGGAAAACAAACTATGTTTTAGTCATTAACACAAAGTGGCATTAATTGTAAATTTGCATAATTAAATAAATAAATCTAATATTCTCTTATGTGTAATATTTTGTACATACTGCATAAACTTGACAACTGAATGGTGAAACTTACACTGAGACTTGTTAATCTGTTCCTGGTTTACGACTAACATAGCTATCTGTTGTCTGAGCGTGGACAGCTCGTCCTGTAAAGCGTTAATTTTACTGATGGCGTTGGGGTCAGAGGTCATGGACACAGAGGAGATCATGGTGGAGTTCATCAGAGGGACGTCGTCTGGTCGTACCGTGAACAAGTCTTCTGCTTCTTCCTCCCCCTCCCCCTCCTCCTCTCCATACACACTCTCCAGTTCTGTGTCACTGGAGCCCTCCTCTCTCTTAGCCCTGTTTTCATAGCAACCAATAAGCATTTACTTATTTAAATATTCATGAGAAATGAAATATATACAACATTCTATACATGTTCTAAGGACACACAAATAGGACCCATGATGAAAGAAAAAGAGTTGTCATTAGAGAGGAAGTTCTGTCTAATGTTAGACCATGCCTCAGGACATGAAACAGATTTAGACTTAAGAATTAAGTTCCAATATATATACTAAAGTGAATAAAAACAGACCTAAATCTGATTAAGTTGTTGCCTAGGTCCTCTTCCACCCACTGTGGATCCTCCCCTGATGTTGCATTTGTACACACTGACAGGAGGGAGGAGTCACTGCTCCAGCTGTCCAATCGCTGTCTTCTGGGGCGGAGCAAATGTTGCTATAAATACAAGAAACAGAATCAATAGCTTCTTTATAAAAATGCTTCATTCTGACACATTAATGACAAAATATTTTTATCAATTTGAAATTATTTCTTATTAAAATCAGTGTTGTGTAGAAGACATTATGTTTATTTGCACAAGAAAATAACACTTTCTCATATTACGGCTCCATTGATCATGTTGATTTCCTTAAATGCAAAAACTGTACTTTAACTACTAGTATTCTGTCACCTTTTTTTTCTTACCTGTATTCTAAGTCTCTTTGGAGGCTTGGAGGGGATAATGGTTCCTAGTATCCTCACCAGACTTCTGTGTCGAATGTTTGACCGCCATCTGATCCAGTTATAGATCAATCGGTGTCTCCTCTGGGTCACGCTAACATCCCATCTACGGCTTAGGGAGCTCCTCAAATCTCTCTGAGCATCTCTGCCTCGTACATATAAGAACTGTGCATAATTGGCCTTTGAAAAAAAATTTAAGAATTAAAAAACTATTAGAACATATTTTTTATTAAATTCATATCAGCCACTGTATGAAAAACAAAATACAAGCACAAAATTTGTCTTAAAAAATAAAGTTAAACTCAAGAAAGAAAAGTATCTGATATTAATTTAGTCTGTCCAAAAACTTCCAAATATCTGAATGTTTGTTATCAAAGTTAAACTCAAAGAAATAAATGTTGGAAGCAACAATCCACTTCTAATCTTCTAGATTATATTATATTAAATTTTATGTCCATGATACCATTCAATGGTGTGTCCTTTATATTGACGTTTAAAAAAAAACATATACAATGTACCGGTACTACTAGCATACCAAATCATCTGCATCAACTCCAACATAATCCAGTACAATTCTAAGTATTGTCACAGCATCTTCAAATACATCCATCTCAGGACAGATTTTCTGAAATAGGAAAATTATTCAATAATACTTCTCAAACATGCCATATCTATGAACATACCTAACATACTTTTTAATAAGGTGCATCAAGATCTCAGATTGAGATGCCAAAAATCACAGGCACCTGAATTTTTATCAATCAGACTCTCAATAAGCCAAAAATTATGACTAAGTTTTTACTGATTTTGACTTTATTTCTAGTTTATTGATAAAGCTGTCGACTCCTGTGGTCTGATTGATAAAAATTCAGGTGCCTTATATTAAATGCAAAAATAAGTATTTGTACATTGTATTACTCTCAGTACCAAGGCTCCTCATGGTACTCAAATTTCTGCTCCTATTTTAACCATACAATTGTCCTTTCTTCAACATTATAAATAAATCTTATTATAATACAATTTTACTGAGTGTGACTAAAATGGGTAGCGAAACACGGGCCGGGCCGGGAATTTCAAAACTGAGAGCCGGGTCTTTGATAATTACGAGATAAATACTCATTCTTTCTTCACGAAATTTACAGACATAGTTTATAAGTATAGGTTTTGCCTTCGCTGAGAATTTTAAGTCAAAATGTTTTGTTTTTCGATGATTATCGCCGATTGTCCTTTTCCAGGTGACTAAAATGGGTAGCGAGCCCGGTTTACTCATTTTGGCGATTTTAAGCTTAATGCATCGAAAGTGTTTGTGATATTTACATTTAATGGTTGTTTATTAACTTCAAATAATTAAACTGTTCAATAATTATGAAATTAAATGTCAATTATTAGGGTTTTTGTCATTTTTCATAGACCCGGGACAGGTCAAAACCGGACGCGTTTGCCCGGGACAAATTAATAATTCCGGATTGCCAGAGAAAGAATGTAGATTTTTTTCAGACCCTGACCGAGATACATCTAAAAAAAAATTGGAAAAAATTAATAAAAATATGCAGATCAAAAAAGAGTCATTTATATTTCAATTATATGTCATTACCTGATAAGTATTTTGGAAATAAAAGGTTTTCCCGGGTGAACGTGTCCGGTTTCGACCAATCCCGGGTGTTCAAAAAATGCGTATATTTTCAATAATCGTGATATATTACTGCAACAGCTAAATGTTTTAGGTAGTTTAAGTTCAATTTCAAAGATCCAAATGAAATAATTGTAAATATGCTGCCGAAATTAAGTTTAAATCGCCAAAATGAGTAATCCGGGCTCGCTACCCATTTTAGTCACTTGGAAAAGGACAATCTGTGATAATCATTAAAAAACACAACATTTTGATGTAAAACTTTCAGCGAAGGCCAATCCTAGAATAATTAACTATGTCCATAAATTTCATGAAGAAAGAATGAGTATTTATTTCGTGATTATCAAAAACCCGGTTTTCGTTATCGAAAATCCCGGCCCGGCCCGGGTTTCGCTACCCATTTTAGTCACACTCAATTTTACTTCATGACTGAGGATAGAGTCTGAGAGAAAGAGTAAACGGAAAATAAGAGAAAGAGAAGAGAGAACTTAAATTCGGCATACCTACAAAAAAAGAAAAAGCTATATATCTAATGTTTAATTCGTTGTTTTAGTCCCAGATAATTCGTTAAAGCCCTACAGCAAAATGACACCCTTATACCCCCCCCCCCCCCTCTGATACCATACTCAATTTCAAAAACAATCCTTATTATTTAAATAGAATTTATCTAAAAAAAAAACAAGTGTTTTGTTTGAAATAAAGTTCAACACATTAAAGAATTAATTCAAAAGTAATTTACCGTCGATCTTCTCTCTCTCTTATTTTGTAAACACCATGCCCGATGCCGCACTCAATTTAAAAGTTGCTTCCGGTGTCAGACTTAACCAATGGGATTACGGTATTTTACTGATTGACCAATCATCAGCGTCCTGATTAGTTTTGTGTACGACTTTGAAAGCTATTTTGTCTCGGTGAGTAAATGTGTGATTTTCAACGAATTGATCTTTTGATCTTTTAACTGATCAAGCTAAACATGAAAATCTTTCAATAATGCAATTTCTCGCAACGGTAGCTTTTCCATGTTTCGTATTGTTCATCATTTCTAACTATCGTGAAAGGGGGGGTCTAAAATAAAAACACAACCTCAGTGCTTAGTGCCTGATTATACCACATGGTATCTTGTTATAATTATGAAATAATTATGTACAGGTGCACTATGATGTAACTGATTTTAAGACTGGTCTTTCTGATCGCAATGAATAATCAATCATGACACCATGCACCAATGCCCCCCCCCCCCCCCCCCCCCCCCCCCCCCCCCCCCCCCCCCCCCCCTCTTACACACACACACACTCTAGGCATTAAAAGTCTGGATAAAATGTAGTTTTCTGAACCTATTGCTCAAGTACGTTTATTTGTCTATGGCTTTGTGATTATTATTTTCTCTCCAGATTTGACACAGTAGCAGGATGGCATCTGCAGACACGGTTCTTGCAATGAAAGGGATGGCTGCTGATCCTTTGAAGAGAAAACTTCTCTTGAAGGTAAAGATCTCCAGTACACTTCCTTCTGACTACAGAAAATTGAGCTGCAGTTGTGTTTTCAATTTTACTGTCTTACACAGTGTCAGTGAGTCACACACTATAATGCATTCTAAAATGAAAAGAATGTATTGTTCAACCAGGGACCTATATACTAACGGAATAGGCAACTACCGCAAACTCGCGATATCTCGTAAGTCGCGGGATTTCGTAAGTCAACTTTAATTAACTATATTTCTACCGTTATCGCATATTTGAGATCAAATCCTTTAATTATCTGTCAAAAAATCATTCAAGATTTGTTTTAATCACGTATTATACTCCTTATCTTAGTAGTAATTTTGTTTTATGCAAAATCAGCACATGCCCCGATCGGCCATATTTCCGAGAAATCGCCGATTTCAGTCTTTGTTTTCTTTATATTAAAATTATATTATTATTATCATTTAAAATTTATTAATAAATCAATTCCTATACATAAAAGGAATAAATGATAATAATCAGAAAACACCCTGTTTACTGGGAATAAATGTTAATTGAAAAATTCGTGGTGTCTTGCGTGATGTTTTGGGTATAAAAACATGGCAATGAAGGAGTTGCCTATCCCGTTAGTATATAGGTCCCTGGTTCAACCATATCTTCGTACATATCAACTTGATGGTAAATGATCAGAAAACATAATTTCTGTAATTTCTCAATGTCTTTGAATTAAAATAATACAATGTATATTACAACATGATATCTCATTTGTAAATTATTCAATTTCATTATTTTGCGAGCAGTCTTGTATTGAGGCATTTTTAGCAGACAAATATAGACATTTCTATGAAATGAAAAGATACCTAAATATCAGAAACCATTTCTAAATGATTTTTGTATTGCTGTGTTTCCTGTTTGATTTCTCAACTAGAAATAGGTGCATTAATAAAGATTATTTATTGATTTAATGGTCAACTCTGATACTGTAACAGTTTTTCAGCAATTCTGCTTTATATTAAATCAGACGTCACTTCATATTTAATATTTGTCAATATATCATCATATATCATTATAATTCTGAAAAAAAATACTGTACATTCCTTATTTTTCGCGAGTACTTTTTATCGCAAATTGGCTCTTAACCGTCAAATGGCGAGAATAATAATTCGTTAAATTTCGGTTTATCAAGGGATTTAACATTATTTTTAGCACCATAAAAATAAAAGCGAGTAACTTATTTCGCGAGTGGTGCTTCTCGCAAAATTATGCAACAATTAATTCCACATGTATATTTAAGAATTTACTGTAAAAAATTAACTCCATGACCTTTGATTTGTAGGATGCAACATGTATGGGTGGTCTTATTATGGTGCTTTCCAATCCTGATTCAAAAATTGTCACTTCAGCACTAGAGGTATAGTACCTAGCCACTAACAAAAAATAATTACCCGGGTACAGTATTAACTTAAAAATATAGGCTTATCAGAAATTTTAACATATATACATATAAATGGTTAAAGAGTGATGTGCAGATGAAACTAATTCATAAATTAGTTTTCAACTCTTTATTATTTTGACTTCAAGAACAATAGAATGTTGAAAGACACCGGTAATTTTTTTTTCTTTAATTTTCAGACATTAATTTTGATGGCAGACACAAATGATCATAAGAAACTTCTACGAGGTTTTATAGGAATGACCAAACAACTGGAAACAATCATCAACAGGTAAAATATACCGGATGTCTTTAAAAGCTTGGTCTTTAACTGATACATGCAATTCATATATATCACAATTATGAATTTATCACTTTTTTGTCCCCTGCTTTCGCGAAAACGAGGGGACATTAAATCTCATTCGTCTGTCTGTCTCTCCGTCATTCTCTCCGTCACAAAAACTTTAACCTTGTCCATAACTTTTGATTTAGTGGAGCTATGACTTTCATATTTCACATGTGTATTCCTTGTGACAAGACCTTTCTTTGGGTACCACCAAATTTGACCTTTTGACCTTGACCTTGGAGTTTGACCCACTTTTAGACAAAAATTCCAAATTTTTCCTTTGGCCATACCTTTTGAATGGTAGGTACTAGGACTTTCATATTTCACATGTGTATTCTTTGTGGCAAGACCTTGACCTTGGAGATTTACGTACTTATGAAATAACTTTAACCTCAACTGTAACTTTTGAACGGTGAGGACTAAGGCTTTCATACTTCATATATGTAATCCTTGTGACAAGACCTTTCAATGGATACCAAGAACTTTTACCCTTTCAGGGGTTTGACCTTGATCTTGGAGTTTTAACTACTTTTAAACAAGAGGCCCATGGGCCACATCGCTCACCTGAGAAGCTTTGACCATTCTGTTCTTTATAAGATTTCCCCCTTGTTATACATAATGCAACCCCACCCTACCCCACTGATCATAATTTAGACATTTTGAAATCTACACTACCCCATGATCCTTCCATGGGCACATATGTTTCAGCTTTTTTGGCCCAGTGGTTCTTGAGAAAAAGATTTTCAAAGATTTTTCCTATATATTTCTATGTAAAACTTTGATTCCCTAAAATGGCCCCGCCCTTCCCGGGGGTCATGATTCCTACAATTTAGAATTTACACTACCCCAGAATGCTTCCACATAAGCTTCACTTTTTCTGGCCCAGTGGTTCTTGAGAAGAAGATTTTCAAAGATTTTTCCTATATATTTCTATGTAAAACTTTGATTCCCCATTGTGGCCCCGCCCTTCTCCCGGGGGTCATGATGTGAACAATTTAGAATCTACACTATACCAGGATGCTTCCACATAAGTTTCAGCTTTTCTGGCCCAGTGGTTCTTGAGAAGAAGATTTTCAAAGATTTTTCCTATATATTTCTATATAAAATTTTGAT